CGTTTGGCTTCACACGAGGACAACCCGCTCTGATACCATGATGAAATTGGGGTTCCACCATAAAACCAATTGGCAATATGAGAAGTAGCCCAATATCATATAAGCACATAGCCAACATTGTCCCTCACCGATGTGGAACAACTCTTAACAAATATATAGTTATGTGATATAATTGGACCGCAATTTTCTGGTGGAAAACAAGTTCAGATCCTTCTACATTCACAATTTTTCTGGATTTTTCAGAAATTCGGAATCTAAAATTGTAAAATTGAGTTGAGAGAGAGAGGGGGACAAGATCCCCAACAATGTCGAGTAACGGTGACAACCTGGACGAGGATGAGCTCCTCTATAAGGCTCTCAAGAAAGAAGCCCAGCGCGACGTCAAGCAATTCTCCCACTCTGCCCCGTCGCCAATTATGTGCAATAGTTCCACTAGCAACCGCCGCGGAAAATTGCAAGAAAAATAGGAGGGGAGAACAAAGAGGCAAGAAAAAGAACCTAAGATTCTTGAGCAAGTGACGTGAGAGGGACGGGAGAGAGCGATGAAAGGAACGGAGAGAGCAAGCGAGCAAGAGTGTTTTCTACCTGACTAAATAATACAATGGTTTCAGAGTGTATAACTAAGTGGGTGTACATTAATTGTATAAAATAGGTGGGTCTGGACTATTTAATCTGGTGATTATTTAATACATATAGATGCCAAACACCCGGCTCCGTACTATTAGTCCAATCCGATGCTTTATACAGCGTACCAAACGAGACCTTAGAGAATTCATGTACTACCCATTTTTTGGGTAAAGAAGGACAAGGTTGATTCTAGCACTTATACCAACTATTATTTTAACAAATATAAAATTGTAACTTCACCATACCTCAATATATTATATTCAACAGTTCTCGTGTATAATTTGTACACAGTTTGCCGTTTTTGCAAGAAAACAATAATTGAAATAAAAAGCAAAAATGAAAAAAATAAAAATAAAAATGCTGAATAGCCCATTGCTCTTTGGTGTATATGTGTCTTATACGTGGGTATGACTTTCCACATACTTTCACATTTTTGGCCTGTCACAGTCGTCATTTCTTCTTCCAGTTCAGACCATGGGAAGCCTCCCCATCTCGTTATTCACTGCTCATACAAAGCTTCTAGCAGTCTAAGGGCTGGTTTGGTATTGCTGTGCTTTGAAAAAAAGCTGCTGTGAGAATAAGCGGCTGTGCTGTGAGAATAAGCGGCTGTGAAATAAAGCCAGTAGAGTGTTTGGTAAACTTTTTTGTGAAAGTGCTTTTGGAAAAAAAATCAGGATGATAGTGTGTCTTTTCATTAAAGGAGCACTGTAGCTCCGTGTGCTTTGAAAAAACTGGCTTTTTTTCAAAGCAGCAAATAGCAGCTTCAGCTTTTCCTTTGATTTTCAGCTTATTCTCACAGCAGCTTCCAAAATAAGCCATTTTTTTTCAGTTTACCAAACACAAAAATGACCCTCAGCTTTTTTTCACAGTGGTTTTTTTTTAAATCACCTCAATCCCAAACGGGGCCTAAATAACGGGATTGCTTGCACGTATATACCAATTCACTCTTCCTTAGGTTTACAAATCTATTTATTCAACTTTCACTACTAAAGTTTTTAGGTAAGCAACTGAGCCTAATTGAATTGACATAAAGAGCTTAGAGAAGATAGCTCAAAACTACACCATCTAGTTATGTGAGAATTAGCTGCATAACGTCTACGAGAGCTTCAGAGAAGGGAGAAGAACACACTAGGTCATCCTCTAGGGTTATCACTATCGACCAAGGACTCGAGGAGGCGAACTCAAACATATAGCTAACTTGACGACCTTCAAGTTCTATAGAGCGTCCATAGAATACTCCTTTTTGTGGTGTAATCTCGTGATGTACGTATGTGTAGAAGACAGAGATTAGAATTCGATCCAAAGTTTTCCGCTAAAAGATTTAATTGACTATCCCTCTATATGAACACAAATCCATTTGGAAAATCCCATCTTTTAAAGGGGATGGGGCTTGAGCTTTCTTGGTGGGCCACTAAAGTTCTAACGGTTGGGTGGGATAAACAGTTGGTAATGTGTGAATGAGAATCCCATTATCTCCACCAACCAAATTTTCTTGTTCCTTTTTTTTTTATCCGACATTTTGCTTTATTAGATTTGTCTGGCATCCCTTTGTGAGAGATTATGAGATCAATTAATTAACAATGACGTACTTGGTGACTGCTAACCTCATTGCATCCGATCTCGCACTCACAGTTTCTTCTAACATATTAACTGATCTACAACGTGTTCATATTCATATTGCTCTACAATGTGTAAAAGATTTAAGAATCGACGCTAAAAAGAAGCCTAGACAAATAACTGAGGCATGAGGAATACGTGTTTTACCGTTGAACGCACCTGAATCAGACCAACATAAGTTGTGAAGCACGCTCATTTGCCAAAATAATAATAGTTGTAAATGAAGCCTTGAAGCTAGGACATCTGCAGATAAGAATTGTGAAATTCAAAGAAGGAAGTTCTTTTAAGTTATATAAGGTATCGTTTGGTATGCAGACGGAACGGGACGGAACGGAATGGGACGGAACGGGACGGGACAGGACGAGACGGAACGGAGAGGGAGCAAAGATGCCCTCGGATGGAAACAAGGAGGAAGAAGAAGGAGACGGAGAGGTTATAATTTTGTGTTCCATGGACGTGGAACGAGTCGTTCCAAGGGGGTGAGGTGGAACGAAAATTCACCTAAAATTCGTCCTGTGGAACAGCGCGTTCCACCCGTTTTAGGCCCACCAAACGTGGGACGGAACGCCTCGTCCCACTCTGTTCCGTCCCGTCCCACATACCAAACGGTACCTAACAGACATCGCCAAATTCTTGTGCATTTGATTTTACTCTGATCACAGTGTTATTATTTTTCGTTATAAATCCAAATGTTAAAATGTGTTTAGGAAAGGTAACATTGTCGAAGCTTTATCGAACTTCTGCCAAACTAATGGTGACTGCATTATTAGAAAAACTGACAGATACTTGAGAAGAAGAACCAACAACTTCACTATTGGAATTTTTATTCGTTGAAAAAGCAGGCGCTTTGGATGGTGGCAGAGATGTAGCTTCATTGGCAAGCATATGAATTACTGAGGACATTGTTGGTCGATCATCTGGAGCTTCTTCAACACATAAAAACCCTACATTGATACACCTCAGAGCTTCATCAGGCGCACATATCCCTTACTGATTCATCTATCACTTCCATTCCTCTACCTTCTTTCCATAATTCCCATGCCTATATAAGTTTAACCACATAAATTATATAGTCATCAGTCTCGCATAACTATATCCTAAGTTCTTAAGAGTCACTTCCTGAAAAAAATTGAAAACAAATTTGGACTCCATTGGAGCCGACCTCTGAGTTTCAATTACCGATGTGTGGATTTACAAGTGTGAACCACTAAATGGAGTTACACTTAAGGGAGCATGTTAGCAGTCCTACATCGGTGGGGGTAAAGAAAAGCAATGACTTTATGTTAGCAGCCTCACATCGGTGGGGGTAAAGAAAAGCAATGACTTTAAATATAATTATCTCACTCTAACTAATACCAAAGCCTTTTATGGTAAAACTCCACATCTGAAGCATTGGGCAGGTGGTAAAGTTTGGGATAGTATCGGTGTCATTAGAGTGAGACCCCCCGGCACGTCGATCTAAAAGAATTCAATAGTTAGAACTTTAATACTGACCCATCCAGCAAGAGTTGATGAGTGTTCAAAAGCATTTTTTTTTTGGAAAAATTAGTTTCCGGTCCCTAGTTTCTAATGTCCATTAACTAAGACCTTATCAATTTTTAGATTTTGATCAAAGTCCCTATCATTAATATATTAATGAATTACATGTAAGTTACATAATTTTTATATAAAAAAAAAGTAATTGATTTAGAGTTTTAATACTCACACCCTTATTAAACTCTTAATTAATTTTCAATTCAAACATTTCCCAAATAAAAATAAATAAAATTAGAATAAGTTTGTACCCATTAAATTTTTATAAAAAAATTTCAATTTTTTAAGCTTATATGTATCCATTCTTAAATATACCAATTTGTTAAAAATGTACCCTTTTTTAATTTAAAATGTACCCATTTTTTTTATATAAAATTTCATTCAATCTTTTCTCTAATCCATTTTTTAACTTATATGGATACATTCTATTTTCATTGATTTGAGAATGTATCCATGTCAAGTTTAATAGAAGAAATTTAATAATGTTATTAAGGCTTATTTTTTTTGTGCTTTTGAAAAATATACCCATGCTTTGGTACAATAATTTTTTGATTAGTTTTGATGAACGTACCCATACACACACACACACACACATATACATATACACACACACAAAATATATTGGAGAGTATAATTCATCTTTAATATTTTTAATCCCATAAAATATGGGTTTCATTTAAAATCTTATTAATATAAATAATTACAAATTTTATTTTTAATTTAAAAATATAATAACCTACATAAAAATACATTATTACATTAATGTGAGGGACTTCAATCAAAAGTTAAAAACCACCAAAGTTTCAATCAAAGAACATTGGTAGTTAAGGACCGCATTCAAAGTGTTTTTTTTTTTTCCACTTACTATCTCCAACATCAACACTCCAAAACTAAATACATCTAATTTCTCAAAAAAATGGCCATAGCGTGTCTACAAGCCGCTGCACGTGAATATTATCAGTAAGTAGCGAAGTAAGCAACGACAGTTATTGAATAAGGTTTAAAATGACTGAAAACATGTGCGACTCATATATTTATATCTATATATACTAAAACCCAAACATTTGGTTACTGTTCATTAACAATAAAATGACAAAAATGTCCTTTGATTCAGCTTAGTTTCCTTTTTATTACCTCATTTGTGCAGTGAAAAGTCGGTTATGCCCTTCGTTGGGTTCTATCTTCCTTATTTCTTCTCCCCACAGTTTCCTCAGTCTATATCCACACTGCTTTTTGTTTGGTTTCCCATACCCATTTCAGCTTCTCTATCGTCTTCAAAGCTCCCGGTTTTTCTCTTTCGAATCTCGCCTTCAGTCGTCCCTTTTTCTGTCGTTCTCACCTTTTCGTTTCCTCAGTCAACACCGAATCAGTGTAAGGTTTTTCATCTTTTTAGTTTTCTTTTGTTTCGAACTGTAAGTTTGATTTTCTTAGATTCCAAAGTATAAAAAATTAAATCTTTATTTGGGCGAATTTTTTAACCCAGTTTGTATTGTGGCTTTTCATGGGTGGTTAATTTGAATTTAGAGGTTTTTATTTGGTCTCAGATGCACAGATGGTATATGGAAGAGATGCAGGATATCATCGGGGTGGAATGTCCTCTATTAATTTTTTTGAAATTAATTTGGGGTTTTGTTTAGCTTTGCTAATTATGGAAGAGATGCAGGATAACAAAGGGTGTGTTTTTTGTATTCATCTGTTTCCTCTTTCTGGAATTTTGTTTCTCAGCCCTTTCATCTCTCTGCAGTTGGTGATTAAGGGGTTGTTTGTTGCTGGGAAATGATGGTTGCAAGTTGTTTCTGTTTTTTGGTTCGGTGGTGGTAGATTTTTTTTACTCGGAGGACGCATCGTTTCCTGCAAAGTTTTGGGTCTTTTTGAATACAGATCTTTGTATTTTTCTTTGTAGTTTTAGAGCAAGGACTCCTCATTGCATATGCCGAACTCCCCACATGCAGCATAAACTCAGCATTGTTTTTGTGGTCGAAGCGAAACCAAATTCCATTGGAATTCGCCAACCATGTTAGCTGCTGACTTGTCCTGAGGTAGACAACACAAATCGAGCTATTCTCTTAGGATCATAAAGAGAATATGTGAAATAACCTTCATTTTTGTTCGAGCCATAGCTGAAATTGTATACATAACTAAGCCTCATTTCAGGAACCAAGCTAAAAGAATTAGAACTTTCGTTCCATAAACCGCTGGTCCAATATTGTGTAGACCTATTCCACAGCATATGATTTGCAGTGCTCCCCGGGTTAAGAGAGAAAAGACCTGGTGCAGGATCCTCGTAACTCTTCCATGAAGTGAGAATTTGGGTTTGTTGGGAAACAATGCTGAATCCAAGTCTACTTCCTGGTAGCCATGTATGGGTTGGAAAATCAAAACTTTGCCACAAAAACTCAGATGTAGACCCAGCTTTTAATAACACAAAGTTACCGCTATCCAAAAGCAGTGAGTGTATAGAAGCGGAGGTGCTGGAGGAGGTCCAATTTGCCGACCAAATTGAAGTTTTGGATTCACTAAATAGAACTAGATTACGATCTGAGATCCTCAAGACTAAAGAAAATTTATCAGACACTGGTTGTTCCCAATTGCTCCTCAGACAATAGTGTGGAGCCAAAAATAATCACAAGACGACACGTGAATTTTTCGACAAAAGAGGACAAAAATACCCTTGAGGTACAACGGGATTCCTACGTGCGAGTTGCAGGCAATTATCATTCAACCAAATCAAAAGTGTCCAAAATAGGTAACAAATTCAAAGTTATTTCATTCATCTTAATCCTATATTTTCCACAAGGTATAAATTACATAACCTCCAAAATATTTATTTCAAAAATGTGTTGATTAACCAATTAATGGATTAATTGCCTAATTAATCCATTAAATCACACATTAAACCATAAGTTACACCCTATGTCTTATATATTGGCCCCCATTTTCACCAAAACCTAGTTCCATACTCTTACAAAACTTCCAAAAACTCTCTAAATACTTTTCTCTCTAAATTCTAACTTTGACATTGGAGGTTCTTCGGCCAAAGCTCTCTCCATTCATCGTGGGCGCGTGAGGCTCTTGACCTTGACCTAAGGTGTTAATTGTTTTGTAGGTGCAATTTTGTCCAAGAAGAAGAAGGCAGAAATTTGCATCCACAAATTGGTGCTTTCATTAAGAGTTGAGATCCATACTTGTAGAAGACTCTCGCGCACAAAGGTTTTTCTCTATTTTCTAGTCCATTTGAATATTTTTTTCATACGTTCTTATTATTAGAATTTTTTATTTGCAAGGGTTCTTTGATAAAACGTATAAGAAAAATATAATGGCTAGAAATTTAAAAAATTCCACAAGTGAAAATTCTAATACTCAAGAAATGGGACTGCGGTGATCCACGAGGCTAAATGTGGTCATAGGCGGAGTGGTACCACCACTACGAGGTTCCACCATGGCCCAAGCCGTGCCATCCAAGCTTGCACGGGCCCGAACCCAAGCCTCGCATTCGCATGCATCACGCACTGAGCAGCTTGCTCCCGTCGAGCAGCCCACTCCCATGGCACAGCCTGTTCCCGCCGAGCAACCTGCTCCCAACGAGCAACCCATTCTTGTGACCCAGTCTGCTCTCGTGGCCTAGTCTGCTTCTGCAGCCCAATCTGCTCCCATGGTTTTCCAAGCAGCCCAAGTCGCCCCAAGACTATCTCAACCATTCGGACCTACCATCGAGCCGGGGGTATTCTCACCATATATTTTCACGGATTTGACATTTCCCAACTCAAATCTCGCGCTCGGAGTCTACCACCCTTCCACTGCCCCAATGAGGCACATTCCTTCCAAGCTCTTCCAATCCAAGTGGCGAACAACACTTGTCTTAACAAGTCATAGAGTTGACAAGCGCCCTTGCACAGCAAACGATTTTGGTGAACCAGCTCTTGCAGTGCACCAAGATGCAACGTGCCCCAGACAAGTTTTCCCGAAGTAGGACAAGGGTAGACGAAGAACCTCTCCAGCAGCGTTCCAGCAAGCAGCCACTCGACCAACTACGAACCAAGCGTTCGGGCAGTGTACACTTCCGACTGGGCCCTCGAGATAATGTATACTCCCGTCTTAGCGCGCGGAGGAGCGTGCACTCTCGATTAGGCCCACGGACGAACATACATTCACGGTTGGGGTCACACTCTGATAGTCAACATGAGCAACCTTCCAAGCGAAGTGTTAATTCGTGGCTAAGCTCGCAATGAGCATTATTCACCTCATATCTGAGTAGGCAGCACGAAGGACGGAGAAAAACAGTCACCCAATATGGCTTAAGTTCAACCGGCAGCCTGCAAAGAACTCGCTCCCCTCTTAGGAAATTGCTACATGCACTGGATCCGCGGCATAGACGAGTCAAACACATGGAAAAGCATCTTAGACCAATAAGTCACGGTTGGGGGCAGCTGAGAGCTCCACTACCTCAACAAAGGAAAATTCAGAAAGAAGTAGAGAGACTATTGACCAAGCGATTGCGCAATTTCCAACGCAACGAAGTCACTGACGAGGCATTACGATAGAACATGACCAACATAAGCATGTCACCATTCATGGACGAGATCGAGCAGGCTGAACCTCCACGCGAGTTCAACATGCCTCATTTCACGTCTTTTAAAAGGGATCAAGACCCGGAGAGACACTTCTATTATCCAAACTGGAAGTAGTGAAGGGCTTATTCGCATGTTTGACGGTATCTGAAGCAGCAATAAGCTCTACCATCATACAAGAAGAAATAGGGGGCCGACTACCTATATTCCACAGTTCAAAAGCTTTTCTCGATGCTACCAAAAATTCAAAAGCTAACTTTGGCGATAGTTGTTGCAACTTGAAAGGTCAAGTTTTATCTTCAGACGCATGCAGGCATCTTCATGACGCACTATTCCGCCCAATCCATACGCGCGACGATAAAGGTGTAGACCCTGGCGGATGTAAAGTTTTCTAACGAATGCAACAACTCGGCCCAAAAGACACACCAAAGGTAGACAAACACTAGTAGGGCATACTCGGAAGCAAGTTTTGTCCTCGTCACCTTAAAAGATTCTACATAAGAGCAACATGTACCGGCAGTTGAGTACCACCTCCTGCTGCGCACCACACGGCCCTAGCCGACCCTTGCTCAGTGACGCAACAGAGCGGCCCAACGATGCCCCGAAAGTAGCCGAGCACAGTCTAGCCGCGCATGCTCCACCCAATGGAGACTTCTGGCATTTGCATGTCGAGAGTAGACGTGGCCCTTGTCACCCCAGGTGGTTCGATGCCCGAGCAGGCGATCATTCTAGGTTTCAAAGCATCCAACAATGAAGCAGAGTACGAAGTCCCACTAGCAGGCCTTCAAATGACAAAAGACTTTGTGGTAAAAAAGCTTTCAATTCATTCTGATTCCCAGTTAATCACCAGCTGAACTACTGGGGGCAAAGGCAAGATGATCGTGGCAACCGACTACTTCACCAAATAGGTAGAAGCAAAGCCCATGACGACCACGATTCAGACGGACATAAAGCACTTCATATGGAGGAACATCATTTGCCGATTTGGCATCCTTTAATCCATTGTCACTGACAACGGTCCGTAATTCGTAGGCAAAGATTTGGCGAAGTTCTTCCAAAAATATGGCATCAAGCAGCACATGTCTAAGCCAAGATATTCTCAAGGCAATAGGCCGGCCAAAGCATCCACTAAGATGATCCTCGACTGCCATAAGAAATCCCCTACCAGTAAGAAAAGAAAATGGCCAGACGAACTCCCTGGATGTCTATGGGCATATCGCACCACCAAAAGACGAGTAACCGAAAGGAGATGGCCACAAGCTTAAATCTGGCAGAGGAGAAGTGCAAGCAGACTATCACCCGCATCGCAGCTTACCAGCAACAATTCCTCTCCAGCTACAACAAAAGAGCCAAGATCCGGCAGTTCCAGCCTGGAGTTCTAGTCCTAAGAAAAGCCTTCATCATTGCCCGCGGAGAAGGCTAAAAAAAAATGGATCTCATCTGGGAAGGTCTGTACAAGATCAGCAGAGTAGGCGACAAGAGTAATTACACCCTCGCCACCATGAAACGATAAAAAAAGATTGAAAAGTGGTGGAGGGCCTACAATATGAAGAAGTACCATGTGTGACCTCCCACTACATCAAAGCCCGAAGACTCATAAAGCTCGACGGGCACCACCTCACAAGCCGATGACTATCCAGTTGTTATGCAATTCTTACCTTACAGCTAAGTTCTCATTTGTTTCACTCGTTTTTCAATGAGGAATTCAAAAGTAATCATAACTTGGCTCGGCTGCATGCTTGCAACAACTGATCACTCTGGCACTTCAAAAGAAGACTGCACCCTTCTTAGGGACTCATCACAGGAATTGCAGCCCCCGAAGGACCAACCATGCTCTCTAGTGCAAGAGGGTAAACCAATTCCCCAACACCCATATGGGTCAGCTCTCCAAGACGAAAGGATAAACTTTACACTCCGAATATCCAGACGTGGATGAGCCTGGCTACCCTAATATAGCTAGATGCACGATGGCTTGCGCCGGGATTCCTAGAAGTAGCCACAATGGTCTTTTTCAAGGCTTAGCTAACTGAAGGATTTTTGGTCTCTTGGCCTAATCCGTAGGGAACCGGGCCCTAGAGAAAGAGGGGGCATATTATGCAGTATGCCCTACAGACGGCTGCCCTAGAACCCTAAAGCTGCTACCAAGTGCACTAAGGTAGCCTACGATTTCCGGAAGACTGCCTACGGCTTGCCCTTCGAGCAGTAAAGCCGCGCTAGACTTATACAACCGCACATTCTTGTGAAAGGTTAAACAAGCTAGCGCGCATATACGAAGTTTTATCCACTGCCGACATGCTACGTAGTCGATAAGCTTCACCTCTGCCAAGCACAGAACAACATACCCCAAGTCCTAAAGTGTTGTCATACTTGCTACGCAACCTACGGAATTGGAGAAAGCCAAGGTTAACATCCTAGTGGTTACGCGCACTTGTCTACTTCTGTAAGTAAGGCATTCGGCTGCCAACCTATGTTAACAACTTGGCAAAGTTCTACACCAACATTTACGTCTACATAGGCTACGCGAGCTTATCTGCTTATAAAAAAGTAGCATGCCTGTCATTGGTCTATCAAGTCTAAAGGTTAGGGCATGAACAAAAGAAGCGAAGATGAAGAAAGCGAAATAAGCATGTTTATAAACAATTAGCAAATGTCGAAGAAGTTCAAGCAAAACAAGAGCTACAAGGAAAAGCATATAAAATCCTAAAGGCTACCTAGAAGACTACAGCAGCTTGGACATCCCATGACTACTCGGTCGCCACACCTTCAACAGCTGTGACACTTTTAGCAGTGGCATCATCCTGCACTTCTCCCCCGACTGCCCCAGCCTGAGCACTAACTTCTCCGACTACTTCATCAATGGAAGCTCAAAAGTAAAAACAAGTAAGTCTTCCGGAGAAATAGAGAAGGTCTCGAAACCTCAAGCACATCCTTCTCACCCTTCAGCTGCTTATTCTTCTTAAGTAAACCAACACGGACGTGCTGCAGCTCATCCACTTCCTTCTTCAAACTTTCGTTGATCTTCAGTACACCTTGAAGTTCCAACACTTAGGGTTCAAGCCTATCAACGACCTTCTTGAAGTGAATCACTTGATTATAAGCAGCAATCAACTCTTCATCCTTTGCATAAGCAGCGAAACAAAGCTCAGAAATTGCAAACTCAAGATCTTGAATCTGAGGTATGTAACATCTAATCTCCTTCTCTGCACTTTCATTCTTAACTTGGATCGCGTCAAGCTTAGTCTCAAAGTCAACAATATCTTGGCGAACGGTCTCAAGCTGCAGAAAAGTGAGGGCAGAAATATTAGACCTTTTCAAAGCAACAAGCTCAAAATCCAACCTCTTGATCTCTTCAGCTGAGGAATAAGCTTCAGCTGCCATAGTCTTTGCCACCTCCTTGGCAGCCTTGCTATATATGCATCATAGCAAGCAAAGTAGACCTTCTATATTGGGTCGTATGCTTCGCAAAGGAACTTGGGCAAACAACCTTTCTACCGCCATCAACAAACTTAACACAAACGTCCATGTCTTCAAGAAGATCTCGTTTCAAAAGCACACAGATCTCAATAGCCTCCCTAAAAGCAGGTTTAATGGATTTCTCAC